CTTTCAAATGTTCTTAGCTATATTTGCCTAATTTCCTACTTATGTTTTTGAGAAAATAATATTCATTTATTTCAATTTTTTAACATAAAGAAGCAAAAAAAATCACCACTTAAAAAAGTCGTAAGTGTGAAGTTAAAGCCCAACCGCTAGTTAGTCAAGTTCTAATTCTAAATACGTACTAGTTAGCGTTCACCCACTCAGTATTTTCTAAGCTTATGCTGACTTAGTATATGTAAACAAAGGTTCACAGAAATGCTTCCACAGAGGACAGAATACCCAAGCCACAAGGAGAGGAAATCACAGGACCTTATGAACTCTGCCCCACCCCCGCACCCCCCAATCATCTCCAGGATTTGACAACAGAATTTGCAACCCTGTCTTTCTTTAATTCCTTCTAATTTCCCTCTCTACCTCCCCACCACTTGCTCTGAGGTGCTCACTTGTGAAAGTTCCATATTATGGGATACACAGCCCTTACCTAGTAATCTTCATTTAAACCTAAGAAGAAACATCTCCATAAATACAGCCCAAAACAACCCACATGCTACCTGTGATAGTTAGTGTTGATGGTCAACCTGACAGGAACTAGAATTGAAGAGATAAGCCTCTGGGATCTCTGTGAGGGAGTTTCTAGATTAGGTTAACTGGGGTGGAAAGATCTACCCTAAATAGGAGTGATACTATCCCATGTATTGGAGTCTTGGGCTGCATAAAGTAAGCTGAGCTTCATCTTTCATTTCTTTCCACTACTTTCTTTAAATTTTATTTATTATCAATCGTGTGTGTGTGTGTGTGTGTGTGTGTGTGTGTGTGTGTGGTGTGTGTATGATGTATAGGGCTACAAAAGTCACGGCTCACATGTGGAGGTCAGAGAGGACAACTTTCAGGAGCCAGTTCTCTCCTTCCACCTTTATGTGGGTCCCTGTAATTGAATTCAGTTTACCAGGTTTGTGTAGCAAACCTGCTGAACCATCTCACCAGCCCCTTAATTTGTTTTCTTCTCTGCTTGTCAAATAAGGACGCAACAGGACCAGCTGCCTCACATTCCCACTGCCATGTGTCCCCACCATGATGGACTGTGCCCCTCAAACTGTGAGTCACAATAAACCCCTAGTTCCTTAAGTTTGCTTTTGTCAGACATTTTGTCACAGAAAGAAGAAAAGGAGCTAATAGAGGAGGTTGGGTACCAAACCGTTACTGCAACAAACTTGACCGTGTAATTCTTAGGCCTTTGAAACTCATTTGCAAGATGAACGTAGAAGAGTTTGGAACTTGGAGCTAGAAAAGCCATGGAATGCTGTAAGCAGAGTTCAATGGCCAATCTGGTGGGAGTGTGGAAGACCAGAGTGTAAGAAAAGTGCGGACAGTAGAGATATGCCTCGTGAGGTTTCAGAGGGGAACATGGACTCTATCAGTGTTTCTTTGGGAAGTTAATGTTATATTCTGGCAAATAACCTGGCTATATTTTCCCCGTGTCTTGAGAACCTGAGTAAGGCCAACTTCAAAAGTAGTGAACTACTTTGTTTAACGAGAAAATTTCAAGATAGGATAGCATTCAGTACTCCTCTCATCCAGGTCTACAGTAAGAGCAAGCAAAAAGCGATGCAGATAGATCTGAAAAATATGCAGTTTGTCAAGGAAGGGTATGAGCGAGTTTAAAGCTATGGACAAGGCAGGTTTAAAAGCACTTTAATTACTAAAATTTTAGTGCTATTAAAGAGGAACTTCAAAGATTCCCCATGGATGCCTCTATTTTGTAAAACGGCAAATTTATTTGAAAGAACAGATCTAAACTACCATTGAAGGGAAGGCCCCCTGTTCAAAAATAAGTGCCTAAGAAAACGGTTCTCTAGGGTCAGCACACAAAAACTCATGCCACTGTGGTCCAAGGAGTTCAGGCTCCATCCCAGACTGTCAGCAGCACTGTTCACATGTTGCTGGTTTTGCAGGTATGAAAAAATGTAAGGTTTAGGATGTTATGGAGTTTGGAGCCACAGTTCCAGAGGGCCAATGAGGCCAGGCAGGGTATGGTAGGGTTGGAGATCTGCAAGGAGGCCCTGAGAGACCATTGTGTGAAGCTGTGAATTGCAGCCTAAACTGCTATTGCGAGATACTGTGTTTTAAGAACAAGATAAGTAACTAATACACTGTCTTCACACTGCAATGAGGTCTTTAACATGCTTGGATGATTCCCAGTCCCTCCTACCCCAGCCCACTACACCTCGCAGATTTGAGTAAAATAATGTAGATCTTTACTTTGTTTTCATAAATATTTCCTCTGGTGACCCCCTATATTCAGTCCCCATGTAACTCCCTCTTCTTGAATACGAGTATATATAGATGCACTTAAAGTTGCTAATCAGCTAAGTTTGCACTCATCCTAAGTGGGCCTACCCTGATCAGGGAGGCCATTAAGAGGGTCTAGGCCTTCTGCCCTGAAGTTAGGGACTTAGAGCAGCAGGGTTTCTCTTGCTGTGCTGGCTTTCAAGAAACAAGTTGTCATGAATTCTATAGCCACAATAATTTGAGTCTGCCCACCCAGGGGCTCCTTACATGCTAATCCTTCTGTAGTCAAGCCTTAGCTTAGAGCTCAGCCAATACTGCAGCATGGCCTGAGGGACCCTGAACAAGATACCCATTAAACAGTGCCTGGACCTACAGCGCTCCTAGATAATAAAAGGGTCTTGTTTCAAGCCACTGGTGTATAGTAAGTTGTGAACTGATGTAGCAGCTGCACCTATATTAAGAAACTTTCTTCACCATTTAAATTGCCATCTCTGTCACAGTATTCTCATCCATCTGAGACGCTCCCTGTATTTAAAGCAGTCTATCCACCCCCTCTGCTCTTCTTTCCCTCTCTGGATGTCCCCATTCTGCTTTACTTCCTGTCTCCCAAGGACAGTTCTTACAAACATAGTCCTAGAGAGGGTGTGTGGTATAATGGTTTCGGAATTCTTGAACGTACAGTTATTTCTTTTTTATGCATGTGTGTATGTGAGTGTGCGTGCCAGTATGTGTGCAGGTACATCTACATATATGTATGTAGAGGCCAGAAGACAACCTCAGGTGTCAGCCCCCAGTTACCACCCACCTAATTTGAGATGGGATTCTCTTACTGGCCTGGAGCTCATCCCTTAGGCCTGAATGACTGGCCTGTCAACCCCTGGGGGAATCCTGTCTCCACCTCCTCAGTGCTGGGATTACAAGAATGTGCTACCACGTCTGTCTGGCATTTTTACCTGGGTTCTGGGCATTGAACTCAGGTCCTCATGATTGTAACACAAGTACTTTCCCAACTGAACTATCTCCCCAGCCCAATTTCTTTCCTTTACCCTCAAATATCGATGGTCTTCTGAGTCCCAGTCCTTGCTTCTTCAAACCATGGTCCACTGACATCCACTTCCCCAGAGAAGAGAAGTTCAAACACTGAGTCACTCTCTTTTGTTTATAACCTGTATACCCCATGCAAAATCTCATAAAATGTTTTCCTTAGCCTAGGATTTAGAACTTCAACCAGGAACTGTCCAATTGCACATCACGTTCATGGGGCACTGAATGCATCCTATTTGCAGATCAGGTTTCTTTGGCTCACACACTTCCCCTCACAATTTTGGCGAACCAGCATGAACAACTGTGTGGAAACTGCATAAAAACTCCATGGCCAAGGCCAGCACCATGGCCTATGAGTTTGCAGGCCATTATTACAATTATATTTTATTACTTAGTGAGGACAATGTGAGCTAAGTTAAAGACAGAAGAGTAAGGCACATATTCAGAATATACCTGCTTATAAACATGAAACTCCCCCATAAGTTTTTACCATAAAGGGAGAATTTGGGCAGTTTCCACACTAATTCTATTCTTGAAAAGTCTGAACACCTCTGTGAGCATCACTGTGCTTGCTTTCCACAGGGAAAATGCTGATCAGTACGACACTTGCCCAGGCTCAGCAGAAACCCTGTGGCAAGATGAGGATTAACTAATTAGATCACCTGACTCATTACACTTTTATTCTTTCCAGAATCAATGAATTCTTTATTTCCCCATGCTCTGATGGGCCTCAAGCTGAAAAGTCATAAGGATAAAGCCAGCATGTGTGCCCTCACAGCTTTGAGAAAGTTGATGCCATTTAGTTGTCACTGGACATCCCATCTCAAAAGAAACACCAGATCTGCTGGGCTATAAATAGGGCCACAAAAGCATTTCAAAAATCTAAAGCCAGCCCTGGTGTTGTGGCTTAGAGAACTAACTTCAGCAGCTAATGAGCAGTTCTCCTGGTGCAGCACCATCTGGGGGTGTCTGGGCTTCGATGAAACCACATCATCTGCGTACCATGGCCAGAGGCCAAGGCAGAGGCAGGGGAAGGACTTTTGGAACCATGCTGGCTGTCTCCTGAGGGAGGACATTGTCATCTGTCTGTGGGGCTGCTGGCAGGATTCAATGAGATAATGTGACTGCTCAGAACGTGATCTGCACACTGAAATGCCCCATCAGTGTCAACTGTTTTTCCAGAGTGACATTAACAGGCATCCAATCAAAGGAACTAACATTTCCCTCCCAACTGGCTGGTTTAAATGAGAGCTCCTTTCCTTGCCAATATGTGAGACACGGAGACTCTACCTGCCTCCCAAAGGGCATCTTGCTTTTGCCCAGCAAGCCATAGAGAGCCACACCCTTCTCTCCTCCTTGTTCCCAGCTGGGCCTCTGACCTGGGTCCGCCAGTCTACCTTAATATTCCTTTTGCTTTCCAGCTTTTTATGCATTCAACAGAAATACAGGCAAGAAGGAGGAAAGGGCAGGAGAGAGGTTCTTGAGCTTATCAGGAGGAAGCCGGAGATTTGCAAATTGGTCTCTCTGGACCCATCAACCATCCCAGCTTCACTATTTGATTGCGATTCTAAACAAATTCTCGCCCCAATTAGAGACTTCTGTAGGAAGGTTTAGAACACCATGTGGTCATTTAGAGCCACCCTGCACAGGAGGGCCAAGAAGCAACTCACCTTTGTATTCTGCCAGGCACACACACTCATAGCCATTAACAAGATCTCTGCAAGTGGCAGCGTTCAGGCAAGGAGCCGACAGGCACTCGTCATATTCCTCCTCACAGTAGAGGCCATGGTAACCTGAGGGACAGAGAGAAAGGGCTGCTGTCAGATGCATCCCATAAAACCCCACACTGGGTAGACCTTTGAAGAAGGTAGCTGGGCATTCAGTGGAAGGTGTGGTACCAGACAGAAAGGATTTAAGGAGCCAGGTCCTAGGGGTGAGAGGGGGGTATATGGAAGTGTGAATTGTGGAGAGACACAATTCTTAGCACGTTTTTTTTCATGGCCCCAAGGAAAGAGGAAGCAATCCTACTTAGTCATTAAGTAATGACTGGCCTCATCGTTCTGGACCAGAGGGTTCTGACCCTGGAGAAATCGATCCCTTGAGACTGTCAGCTCTAGCCTTCAGAGACACAGAGTGGCAGAATTTCCAGCACATGTTGTCAAAGGATAATCTGACACCTTTTAAGGGCAATCTCCACACTATTCCTTCTTATTAGTAAGAAACACACTTAACTAAAGAAAATTTTACTAAAGTGGAGAAGCCATGTTGTGATATATATAATTTTCAACATGCATTAAAATTCTTTCTAATTATTTAGGGATTTTTTTTACAATACTATCTTGATATCACCCATTGGTCTAGTGAAATTCACACATTTTAATACAGTAACATATAAAACTTAAACAAACAATTCATAAGTTTAAGTTAATAAACATATAGAGAAATCTGTATTCGGTAACTTAAGGATATACTTGTTCTGAAGAAAACATGGAATATTTATGAAAACTGACCAAATGGAGTAATTAAATAGAACACAGAGTTGCTTTGCTTTTTACTAGAGAGAAAAAAGTAAGAAAGAAAAGCACTGATGTGATCCCTTTGTCTCAACTCCAAAGAGGAGCTTTACTCAAAACAGCTTGACTGAAGTTCTCGTTGAAATGAAATGTGTGTTTGTTTGGTTGTTTGTGTGAAAACACAATTGTATACAATATAATATTCCAAATTGCAGTTAAATTTTTATTTGCTGGAGTATAGTAGGAATGAAGGAAAAAACAATTTTTATAAAGACAGTTTTTACGTTCCTGTGTGCAAAACAGGTGTTTATTCTAAGACAAGAAGACAACGTTCTCTGAGAGTCCCTCGTGATTATTATGCTGTTTTCAACTTTCGAAAACATGTGTTATTGCCAGTTTGCAGTGAAACCAGGCCATTTTTGTCTGTCCCTGTCCAAACAAAAGGAAACATGTGAGTACTTTCAAAAATCACTCTGCCTGTGTTTGTTCTGAATTCAGATAAGCAGAAAAATAAACCTTTGCACAAGTGGGACTAGAACTGCTGGCTGTTACACACACACACACACACACACACACACACACACACACACTGCCTTTCTAACACACAGAGGACCCTCAGTCCCAGAACATGCTAATGTGTTAAAAGTTCTCTTTCTTAGGTTATCAGAAGTAGGGTAAGCTCATATTTACATTACTAACAGAGCACTTTGCAAGCGTGTTGCCACTGCAGTTATTTTTGAGCTGTGCTCCCGATTGAGGTGGTGATAATGGCCCCTTTGAGGCAGCCCTGACCTACCTAAGACAAACAGACCACAGTCACCCATTCTGCTATCTTATCCCATTCTTTGGAATTTCAGGAAAGCATTTCCTATTACTCTTTATCAGAGTATCTCAGTCATCTGGAAAAGAGGTTCTCGACTGGCAGTTATGGCCATGGGCCACATTTGGCAACTGTTGGAGAGGTTTTGCTATCAGAACTGGGGTGGTGGGGAGGGGTGGTTACTGGCATCGACTGAAGAAAGCAGAGATGTTACTCGGCATCTGACAATGCACAGAATAGGCCTCAAGAACGAAGGACTCCTCAAGAAGGAGGCAGCAAGACACAGCCTGCAAGCCCAGTTCATCCCTCCAAATAAAGTTTTATTGAGACACTGCCACACCCATTCACATATTTATTGTCTGTGATTGCTTCCACACTGCAGCAGCAGAAACCTGACAGCAGCCAAAAGCCCCTTAAGAGAAATCTGGTCAACAGGGTAAGAATCTCTGGCCTGGGTGGAGCCTTAACTTTCCAGTTTTGCCCAATTAAGCACCTGTTCACAGGGTCACCCCTAGGAAGGAGGGCTCACCTTAAGACATGCAAAACAGATAGGTGAAAGGCCTAGTGCCTTAATGAGATGGCAAACTTTTCCTGCCCAGAATCCCCACCCCTAGTGCAGTGTTTATGGACCTGGCCACAGACACGTAGCTTTCTGTAAGTCTACTCATTTTTCTGAATTCTTGGGAAAAACGTAACCTCTCTTTTTCCTTCTTTCTGCATAGTTTGTAGCCATACTTTCCCAAACACTCTGGGCTGCCCCAACATTTTAGGTCTCTTTACTTTTTCTCTAAAGTTCCCTTCCTCTCCTCACCAGGCGGCTGCTAGTCTGCCACATGTCTGACCTCAGTGCTGGGGGTAAACCTGCATGGTTTTATGGCTTTTTCCCTTCTCCCCTCTGTTCTCCTCCTAAAGAAGTGGCAAGGACTAACAGCTTTCCTGCCCTGAGGATTTCTCCATGCATTCCAATAAAATTGTTGTAAACCCTTCATCTGAGTTCATTCTTAAATTCTTTTATGAATCAGACTAAGAACCCTAAAATGGGACCCTATTTTTTCCTGTATCACAAAGAAAAAATAGTTTTTATTAGACTCTTTACAGAATGAGTCAGCTTATGTTTTTTGATGTCATATCCTGGAAATCACTGCCAAGAACAATGCTATGAAGACTTTCCCAGTGTTTTCTTCTAAGAGTTTTATAGTTTCAAATCTTACATTCAGACTGGTCTGAAGGTAGTGAGTTACCTCAACTGATTGTTCACAGTCAGTTACAAATCACTTGATTATTTTGTGTGTATGATATAAAATACTAATGTTTGTTAGGCATATGAAGGGATAATCAACATCACTAATCATTGGGGAAGTGAAAATCAAAGTCATAATGAGACATCACCCCATGCCCACCACGGAAAGAAAAGCATCAGAAAATTACAAGAGTTGTCAAACCTGTGAAGAAATTAGAACACATCAGTTTCCTTTCCTGTTGCTGTGACAAAAGTCCCTGACAAATGCAACTTAAGAGAGAAATGGTTTATTTGGCTCACAATTCCAGGTTACAGTCCATCATTGTGAGAAGGTCAAGGTGACAGGTACTTGAAGAACCTAGTCACATCAACAGTCAAGAGCAGAAGGTAGGGGCTGGAGAGGCGGCTCAGTGGTTAAGAGTACTGGCTGCTCTTGCAGAGGACCCAGGTTCGATTCCCAGGACCCACATAGCAGCTAACAACAGTCCATAACTCCAGTTCCAGGGAATCTGACATCCTCTTCTGACCTCTGTGGGCATTGCACAAAATGGGTGTACTTACACACATGCAGGCAAAACATGCATACACATAAAATAAAAATAATAAATATTTTTTTAAAAAAGACCAGAGGGCAGTGAAGGAATGTGGCATGCTAGTGTTCAGCTTACTTTTCCCTATTCAGTCCAGGATCCCCTACTCAGGGACTAGTGCGGTCCACAGTGAGCTGGGTCTTCCTACTTCAATTAATGTAATCAAGACAATTCCCCACAGACATGCTCCCACAGGCCAACCTGATTCAGATAGTCTCTAATTGAGAATCTCTTCCTAAGTGAGTCTAGATTGTTATCACGTTGACAATTGAACCTAACCATCACAGAACTCTTGTGCAGTGTTGGCGGGAACCGGAAATGGTACAGCTGCAATGGAAAAGAATATGGATGTTCTTAAAGGGCTAACAATGAAAGTATTATGGGCTGGAGAGATGGACGGCTCAACAGTTAAGAGCACTGGCTGCTCTTGCAGAGGATCTGGGTTCAGTTCCCAGCTCCCACATGGAGGCTAACAATGTCTGTAACTGCAGTTCTAGAGAATCCAATGCCCTCTTCAGGTCTCTATGTGCATTGCACACATGTGGTACATTTACATATGTACATGCAAAACACCAATACACATAAAAAATTAATTAAAAAATGAAAGTACTATATGATTCAGAAATCCCATTTTTGAGTGTTTATTCAAAATAATTAAAAACAGGACCTCAGATAAATGTTAGTACCTCATAGCCATTGTGGCATTATTTACCACAGCCAATGATTACAGCCACCTAACAATCCACCAACAGCTGAGCAGCTGAAGAAAATGTGGTGTGATGACACAACAGGACATTATCCAGGCCATAAGAAGGAAGTCCTGTCATAGGCTACAACATGCATAAACCATCTGTACATTATGTAAGGTGTACATAAGGACAAATCCCATAGCCTTCTACTGCTAGAGGCCAAACTCACTGAAGCTTGAAGTAGAATCATGGTTTCCAGGGGTCTTAGAAGAGGAAATGGGGAGTTGCTTGCCAATGTGTAAGGCGTTGCAATGATGTAAGATGAATAGACTCTAAAGTTGTGCTGCACAGCAGTGTGCAGATGACAAAAAAATCTTTACTGAGCCTTTAAATTTTTGTTAAGACAGATTTTATGTTGTGTTTCTCATGTCTTGCAAGCACAGGACCTGAATTTATTACCTAGAACTCACTAAATATAAATATCCATACAGGGCATGGTGGCACATACCTTTAATTCCAGCACTTGGGATGCAGAGGCAGGTGGAACTCTATGAATTCAAGGCCAGCCAGGTGTACTTAGTGAGTTCCAAGCCAGCCAAAACTACATAGTGAGATCCTGTCTCAAATAATAAATAAATAAATAAATAAATAAATAAATAAATAAAT